AAAATTAGAATCTTCCCATTTAGACTGAAGTAGTGCAAATTCATTTTAATTTGGCCCCTTTGCTACATCCCAGGCCACTCAGATATTGTCCATTTCTCTCCTGTCCCATTTAATGCAGTTGCTTCTTTTGCCCTCTACCAGAGCAGTAATGAAATATATCCCCAATAATCTTCAGCATTGTCTAAGTAATGTAAGAGCCATCTCCAAATGTCCCTCCCATCTCATTAATCCAGCACATGCCAGTGCACATTTGTATCCTCCCCTTCAATGCTCTCACCGATCAATAGGGTGAAAGGTCTTGGACTGGGTTGGCTGAAGGATGGGAAAGGGCAGGCGGCCCCCATCCATGAACGGTGATGCCAGCTTGCGAATGGGGCTGCTCCCACCACGCTGGCGGCCCCCACCACCCACATCGGAATTGACACGCAGTCTAAAAGGAGAGGGAGAAAGAGAAAACATCTGCTTAAGAGACAGATCCAGCCCCAAGACAAAGCCCTCTTTGGGGCAGCAGGCAACAGGTCATAGAGGTACTGTCAGTCACCATCACACAGCACTGAGAAGCTGGATGAGGTCCACCGGCCACACCTCCTCCTACCTGCTGGTGGGTTCAGTGACCAGTTCCTCCAGAGATGGTCCTGTGTCAATCTCTAACCTGGAACTGCGGGTGCTAGGTTGTTTTTCACTGCCAAGAGAAGCAACCAAGGAACAGAGAAAGTTGTTAGAAAGAGGGGCTGATGTCTCCTCCCTAGCTAGCTCACACTTTCTTCCACCATCCTCTTTCAAGGAGGTCTTAGAGACCTAAATTAACCATTTGAGATAGAAAGGCGGCTCCCCACATCTCCTGATTTCATATTGCACATCTGTTTTTCTTTGAAAATAAAACAAGCCAAACAACCCTCAAGGAAAACCAAAAAAAAAAACAACCCTAAGATCCTAGTCCTCAGGTTAGTAGATAAAATCTAAAAATAAAATGCCACAATTATGAAAAGTGCTGTGTCTTTTTCTGGAAACCACTGCACAGTTGTGTCCCTGCTGGAACAATTCAAAATATTACAAACTTTTCTCCTAACGTCTGGCTTATATACACGGGAGAGTAGTGGCCTGTACTTTTCAAAGCATTTCAGAGCTTTGGATCTGAATATGAAGGAAGCCATCAACCTTCCAGCGTGCTTGTTAACATCTGTCCCCTACCCTCTGAAGTGAACATAATACCTCACTGATAGTTCTCTTTCTCAAAGTTACCTCTTTGAGAAAGAGAACTACAGTACCTCTCTTTATTTCCCCAGTTTTTTAAAAAGTACTCGAAGTGTGTCAATAAACTGCACATACCTTCTACTTGGTAAGACAGAGGCAACAATATATGCAAAGCAGTCTCTATATTAGAGATCCTAGCTTGTGTAGAACAGTGTAAACATACTTGGGCTTTAGTTCTACTTGTAGTCTATGGGCCAAAATGTGCCAGATGGACCAGCATTATCCTTATGGTTAGCAGGGAATGCTGCAAGGGGCATGAATACAACTAAGGCTAGTAACCTACTCCACTCTTTCCTTCTCTTTGTAAGAAGTCTTATGTGAAAACCTTGATTGAGCAAAGCCATGATGGCTGGTGGAAGTCAACATTTATGGGCCCACCTGGTGATGCTGATGGCAAATGGAAGACTACAACTTGGAATGTGAGACGAATAAATGGTAAAAAGCATGAGTTAAAGAATGAAAATTAGATAATTGTGTCCATGTGAAAGTAAGAGAAAGGGAAAGGATGTCATAGGCCTGAATATGAAAGTTGTCTGATGTTGTAGAGTTGATAAATACACATATGAAAGGTATTGATTTCATTATGAACAAAAAGGCCAAAATATATGTCAGAAAGAATGAACTGGTGTCTCTATAGTAAAAAGTAGAAATTCATAGGAAGGGGTGAGTTTTGGGAAACAACAAACAACATTCTGGATAATTGTGATCCAGAGGAAAATATTATTCTGTTTAGGTGATATGAGCAGATGGGTGGCGATATGATGGAAAAGTACAAGAAAAGCAATTGGGCCATTTGGAGAATGATAATGGTGATTGCTTGCTGAGTTTCTGCTTAGAAAAAAAGTACATCTCTTTGGAATATGAGATTTAAACATGCATCATATATTTATACCCACCACACTATTCCCGTCCAAGGTAACCAACTTGATGCAGATCACAGAAATGGAATAAGAAATA